CCACGAGAAAAACACAAGGCCCTGGCTAGAATCTCTTACGAACATCCTGTCACAATTTAATCGTGCAAGCGGCCGGTTGACCAACACCGTCCGGTCCAACTTTCCCTTTTGTATCGCGATAAAAAAAAGAAAAGACGGACGCAACGTCGCGTTAAAGAGTGATTCGCGTGCAACGCGAGCATGCAACGAACGTGAAAAGGATAATTAACGTGAAATGGCGTTTTTTATTACGCGCCGATTGCGCACCGAGATCCATCGTTTAATTCCATAAAACTTTTCCGACCGAATATAATAATAATAATAACAATAACAACAACAACAATAATAACAACAACAATAACAACAACAACAATAACAACAACAACAACAATAATAATAACAATAATAATGATAATAATAATAATAAGGATAATGATAATGATAATGATAATGATAATGACAATAATGATAATGACAATAATGACAATAATAATAATAACAATAACAATAATAACAATAACAATAACAATAACAATAATAATAATAATAATAATAATAATAATAATGATAATGATAATGATAATCGTCATCAATAATTCAATAATATTAATTATTTTACACTTGGAGAATCGAAGCCTCGATAGCGTAGAAAGAAAAAAAGAAAAAGAGACGAAATATGCTGACGCGATAAAATAACTCGATTAATCGAAGTTGAGAAACATTTCATTCGAATTGTCACAGTATAGTGAAGAATGCGTGTATTAGCATTCTAAGTATTATTAAGAGTATTAGTATCAAGTATTATTAAGTACTACTAAAAAGAAAATATAATTTTTTATAAATTTTTCATTCAAAACGCTTGTAAATTAACGCCCGTCAATGCCTTATACGCGGATACAAAAAGTATTTCAACCTCCTCCAACAGAACGGCGCTATAAACTCCAATTCCTTAATGCGCTATTTACACATTCATTCCATTTACACAATGTCCTTCGTATCGAACCTCGTGTTTCCTCCTCGACTTGCCTTGTTTCGCTTCCTGGATTTTCCAGCGTGCCGCCGACATTCCACCTCGGTGTCTCCGCGCCTATACATCGGGAGAGAGGGAGGAGGGGTGGGGGGGAAGCAGGGAACAAGAAGAGAATAGAACGCGCGTCCATTTCTTGCGCAACGATCGCCATAGTTGGATCTTAATCGGCGTGCAACGAACCTTCTTCTTATTCTTCTTCTTCTTCCCCTAGGTTCTTTCTTCCATTGAATGTTCCCATTGAAATCACCTCTGGTCATTGCAGCTAGATCACCGTGTCGCGATCGTCCCGGTTCCTTGACCACGATTTTCCGCTTTTACGCTCGTCCCTCCCTAATTATTGGCAGTGCTGTTTGACACACGCGCGCGCGCGCGCGCACACGTTGAACGATCGATGGATATTGGATATTGAACAGCGGTTACGAAGATTGGATTTAATTCTAACGTGGCTTCTAGCGTGGGGAAATTTCGTGGAAAATTGTAGGTTTTGTAGGAAGAGAATGTTAGGAAGCGTGGGAAGATTGTAATGTAGGAAACGTTTTAGAAGATTGATAAGAGGTGTATTTAAGATATTGAAAGTTTATCGAATATATCGGTGTTATTTTTAGAGGCGAAAACAAACGTAAAAGTTGATATACAAAAATATTGATCGAGGTTTATTTATCGAGTTACGAGCTAAATAAAGCGAAGAGTCTTCTCGTCTTCGTCGCACAACCGTCTGAATTGTATATCTCCGTCTCGCTTCGTCGCGAACGCAAACTTCGAACCGTTTATAACTCGATATAAGATAAGCTTCAACCGAAATTATTGTATACCAACTTTTATATTTATTTCTGGAACGAATCCTTCAAAAGGATGTGTGTGTAAACGATAAAATAGCCATTAATTTGGAAATAATTCGAGTATAAATGAGATAAAAATGTATATAAATATTAATTGTAATTCGAATCAACATTTAATGAATAATACAAAATACGTATACGTATATCTTGAGAAGAATATTCGTTTTAAAATCGTCGAGGGAACACGTGTGCGTCTTCCAGTTGCAAAAAAACGCGAAGATAGTTATAACGATCATGCACGTGGCTCGTTCAGCGCACGCATAAATTGCTTCGCGAGCAAACTTTCTTTTCGTTCGCGGGATTCGATTCGCCGTTTCACAGTAGTCAGCGAAAAAAACAAGGCATAACAAAGTTAATTAACACCGGACGGATCTGCGAGAACTGCTTTCCAAGCGGTTAACTCGTCTAACAATCGACAAATTCCCTTCGATCCTCGTCCGTGAATCGTTTTCTACGAGTTATACGAGAATATCGTAAATTAGCGAGGAACGTTTTTAAATATCGATGATCCGACGAAAAACGATTTCGAAATTTTAAAGATAATGAAACATATACATATATATATATTTTCTTTTTCTCATTTCAACGTCATTTCACGAGCGATAATCACGTAAAGAGAACGATAATAAAACGATCCGTAAGATCCGTTTAAATTTCATCTGTTTCGTGAAAGTGTAATTTTAAAATTTGTTGTTCAAGTTTTCGTTCCGTTCTTTTTTTTTTTTTTTTTTGAATATTTTTTTCT